TATTTATAAGTAGGAAGTGGGAAATTGTACTGTTTGTATTGGTTTGACTAATACCCGAATAATGTGACTCTTACTGTCTGACTACAGCCTAGTTGAGGTTATTACCTTTGTCATCAGTAGTCTCTGCCCTCCCTAGTCAGCCTTTAGAACAATTAGTAAACTAGGGATATTCCCGCCTGATGGAAGGAGATCAAGGAGGGGTGATGATTGAAGGAATAGCCAACATTTCCTCAGTTCTCCTTGAGATCAGACTCTGTAAAGTACGGAGGTTCATAAGTGCCACGGTCCACTATGTCAAATAATTTGTTTTATTTGAAACGGAAGATTTGGCTGATGACGTCATACTGAACTTCAAGATTGTATTCGTCTTTTATTAAATGTAAAATCCTTATCCACCTAGATGCCCGTGATGGCATAGGCCTACGTATAGTCACATTGATATTATCATTGACCGTTAGCATGCACTGTACGTCCATGACGGATCCACTTTAAGGATATTTTAGAATATAGACTATTAATAAAATCAACCCAATCGTCCACTCACAGGATAATGTACAATTAAGTGTTGCGTATTAAATGAACATATGACATTTTCTAAGTGGTAATTGGGCGCCATGTTTGATAAAGCAACTCGCATGGGAGCAATAGTTGTATTGCCCTTTGGTGAGTAAGCACGTTCTTATTTTCAATCAAGGATTGTCTTTCAATAAAATTGACATTATATTAATTGATAACTTGCGTAAAATAGGTCTACAGTAGTAAAAAGAAAACCCATTAAAATACATTACCTGTACCGGTACCTTTCAAATATCAAAACATGTATATAAAATGGCAGTAGGAAGGAACGTACAATAGAACGAGAATAAAACACCGAAGGCAAAATTAAACTGAGATGATTGCAGTACTTTTGAAATTCAACATAAAAATGTATCAACTTTTAGACTTCAAACTTTATATATTTTTCTTTATCCTAATTTTGTTACATTTTAAATTATAATGTTCTTGTAATGTTGAATTTGGCCTATTTAAAGTGTTGGTTATTAATTTTAAGGGGTTTTTAATTCATTTTTTTTAAATGTATTTATTTATTTAAGTTTTTGTAATATTTATTTAATTTTACTGTTGATTCCGAACGTAGTTTTTCATACTTTTGCTGAAATTTTATATTTTGTACCACTGATGCCAATGTACCTCCCTAGTTAGAATATATTTGGCGTATAGTGGAACTATTAAACAGTTCAAACTTTTACGCAAAGCTCAAAGTAGAGTATTCTCACGTTGGTGGCCCCTTCTCTGTTTTTAGAGTGGAGTTCAGCTCGATAATTCTTTCTTCTTTTTTTATCATTCTTCTGCCTTCTATCACTGTCCGCATTATAACGTGTTTAATGATAAAAACATTCTTAAGATTTGACCATTATTACTAGATACATTTTCTATCTTTTGCAAAACGAAAGTTTATCTAATTTATTAAAATTAATAGGCTTATTCCTAACGTGTTGAGTTTACCTCAAGAATTATTGCGTTTGTATCCTAGAAATTTTGAACAGATGTCTAAATAAGTAGGGGTGTTCCTTGAATCAAATAAAATGCAATTTCGCTTCGATGAAAACATGAAACACAAATAAAAATGAATATGAAGAAAGGTTGAAATATGTAACAATGAACTTAAACCATTATCATATGAAATGCATTGTCAGTGTTAACTTGTTTCACTGGCGCGTCGACTGCCAATCAAAACGAGATGTACCGGTACTCCCTCGGTATCCGAGCGCTACAGAGTGGATCTTCCTTCCAATATTATAGCCATACCCCTTAAACCACTTTATCTGTACTCGTTCCGCCTAGGCCCCCGGGACGCGCACTCCCGGGATGGACACGCGCTGTTCTGGTTTAGCTTAGGATCCCTTGCACGGACATTGGATGAACGTGTTACGTTTAATTGGATTTAAACTACCCTGCGTCACCCGTCAGACGGGTGATTGACATACGGTGCGATCTACTTTGATGGGTTCGGGTGACGAATACATTCGCTCTCGTTTCCCGTATTTATCAATGCGGTTGAATCTGACTCTTCGTTATATCGTTGATAATTACTATTGAGTCATATATCGGAGGTGTCTGGTCGCAGGAACACTTAAAGAAGTGCTGAGCAATGGTAGAGCATATATCAATCACATTTCGTTTGAAATCTCAAAGGTAGCACTTGAGCTAGTCTACACTATAGACTTTAGATAATATTATTATAGGGCTAATACAGGCATAAGGGTAAAACACACACGATACCCTGAGAGCGATTCCTGTCTTTCGAAACCAAGTCTAAATCATGGTTCCTTTACCACCAATAAATGCCTTCTCTATTATATTTATGAATTATAA